ATACAGTAGAGCATCGATTATCCGACCCCCGATTAACCATCACTTCGGTTAACCGACCGCGTTCTAGTCGGCAATTTCAAATGTCCGCTAGTGATGTGGCGCTACAATATTTGGCTATGTCTTGGCTACTTTAATATTATTTTTACGTGTTTTAGCTGGCAACACTGGATCGACCATGAAAGGGAGCCAGTATTTAAACGAGATTTAATTTTCTAATTTTTAATGATACAATAGCGACGATTATTATTTTAAAAAAATTTGATTGGCTTAACATGGAGGAAAATTCAATGCAAAGTAGGTTAATAGTGACATACTAATATACTAATTACATGGGATATAATAATATACTACACTAGTAATGGATTTTTTCATAGTTTTCAATTATCCGACCAACCCATGTCCCCAATTGAGTCGGATAATCGATGCTCTACCGTATATTGTAAAATTGTGGATGTATTCTCTTAAAAAATGTTTTTATTATTACTATGCTAAATGTAATTAATCTGTAAAACGATTATAATTGCAGTTACTGCAACGTTATATTGTAGAAAATACACATTCTTTAAAAGTTGTACTTATATAAGATTTTATGAGCACATGTTAAAAGTGAGTATCGTGTTATATTGTTATTTTATTAAGATATATGATGTTATAAAGTATAAAATTATAAAATTATTAATATATTAAGTTTTCCATATTAATGTTGGAAAATGTATTTGTAGTGTTTTTAATGACTGTATTATAAAATCTTTCCAATGTTACCTGTTATACACCATGGTTTTAAAAGACAGAACCATAGGTAACGTATAAGTGTGACAATTTTTAAGTATGATAGTTTTATGTCAGTAAATATGACCTACTCGCGAGGAATTTTGTCATGTTACTAATTGTGTGTTTTAATAATTTGTAGTATTGCACTGAAGAGGGACTTAACATTTATATAAGTCCAAAATGCATATGTGGAAACAATAAAAGAAGTGTCTAAGCTGAAAGCAGTAATGATAAGTCTACCAAACTTAATGTTGGATTAAAGAGACATATATACATAGATCATAATAACAGCTACCAAAAGTGATATTTAGTAACATATATTTTGATTGGAGAACAGAACTGTTAAAAAAGCAGAATGACATTGGAGATTTTCTTCAATTGGAAAGGAATTATACATTTCAAATTCATTTCCAATGGTGCAACTGTCACTAAGTAAAAGCATAAGGAGATGTTTTGCTTCTCTGTATAATGTATCAGAAGAATTCTATCAGAAGTAAATGGAAAGATGATAGCAAAAGACTAGATACATGCCAATAACCTGATACATTGGTTGCTTCTTGTGAGAAAACAACTTGCAAAGCATAGCATAATAGTGTCACATGACCCTTCCTACCTTCAACTTAGCACCCAGTGGTTTCTTCCTCTTCCTGAGAATGAGACACACATAAAAGGGTAACATTTCAGAACTGTTAAAGAGGTCAACACTGCTTTAGTAAGGTGTGTTGCAAACATATAAGACCACCATAATATTCTGGAATAATAAATTTTTACTACACTTAAACAAAAAAATCAGTGACAGGAATAAATGTAGATGTAAAAGAATTACTTATTCTATTTCCAATTAAAAATAAAAACAAATATATAAATTTTTATTAAAAAATCAAAAATAACAGTGTTGCAAAAATATAAGGCTAGTTGCATTTTCGAGTGATTTATCAAAAAAATTCCCTATTACCTATAATTTAATAATCAAATATGGGAACTGTAAAAAGCATAAAAGAAACATATTTTTTCAATAAATAAAATTTGATGTCTTGTTCAGAAGTTTCTAACCTTTTTCTAAGAACGGCTGTGAACTGTAAAAAGCAAGCCTGGAACCTAGGTACAAAAGGTACAGTCAAAGATTAATATTAAATTTTATTTTTATTTCTGAAAAAAAATGGACATAAATCAATGTGATATCTGCAACTATTTTTTGAAATGTCATCAAAATTAGAAATAAATTTTGTGGCATTCAATATTAAAATCATCTTTAGATTTTTCTTACACAGAAGAATGTTCAGTATTTTGATTTTATATATTTTATTTGTGAAAAGGTTTAATCACAAAGATAAGTAGAAACAAAAATAGAAAATATTTTCTTGTACAAATTTCCTTAAGAGTTCTCAAATTCTTTTCTGGCAGATACTTGTGAAAATTTAACAAATACACTTCTTTACATTTTTACATTCTTTAAATTTTTACAAAATAATTTGCAGTTATTCCAGGTCTATTAATTCTTTGACTTTTGAAAAGTTTACATTGACTTTTAAGTTGACTTTTGAAAAGTTTACATTGCTTTGAATTAGTTCAAATGTTGATGATAGAACATGTCAGTGAAAAAAGCTATGTTGACTCAATAAATATACTTCAGCGCCATAAGTTGAAGACCGTCTTCATTTTGTTGACTGGTTATTCAATTTAGAATCAACCAAACTAATGAATTGATAAGGACATTGAATTTTATATGACAAGATCTCATCTAATCATCATAAGGCATAACAGTAACTGGCCTATACATCTGTGTTTTTAGTTCTGTCTTCAATGTGTTTAATAGAAACAGTACTATTCTGTATTTCCTGTACATTATTCAAAATTTAAAACTTAATTTTATTAAATATATCATTTAATAATATGATTTATTAATTATTAATACAGCAAGAATAGATCAATACTTTTATATAGAAAGAAATTTCATAATCTATAATATAAACTAGAAAAAAATCAGAAATTAAACTAATGGCCTGAGTAGCTATTATACATTTTTAATATTTATAATAAAGTATGTTTTATACATATACAGAATGCATTTTTCTATTTGTTATTTTCTATATAAAAATTAAATAATTTTTAATAGACATCACCAACTTTATCCACTAAGATAATCATTATTAATTTTGTCATTTATTGATGTTATTATACATCAATTTTCTTTATAAAATTATGATATAAAACTAATATCAAAAAGGAAAAAAAACAAACTTTTAAATAAAAAAATATTCTTTCTGATTGGTTTCAGAATAGTAATTCTTTCAATAACAAGAACTACTTATTAAAATTTGTTGTGAATGGTTAACAATAATATGAAACTTTTTTCATCAAAAATAAAATTTGAATGGTTATGACAAAAATTTAATAATGGAATTAGTCAATATAAATACAGTAAAAAATCCAACTAACATAAAATATTAAAATTTTAACTTGACATTTAATTAAAAATAATAATTACAAAGAAAAATTCTTAACTGGTTAAATTATTTTACAGTAGATAGAACCACCTTTTAAACCAGCATAGATATTTATAGTTTATAGTACTTTTGGCTTTAAAAAATCATCTTTAATACACAACAAATTTTAAAAAATTTTTGCTCAAATCTTAACAAAACATACATATTGTTTCATAAAATTTTAAAAATTCTTACAAATAAAAATAAACTACATATTTTTCGTATACAGAAAAGTTTTGAATTGTAATCCTGAATGAAAGAAAGTCTAATGGGGATTTATATTTAAAATATATTTTAAGATACTTGTATTTCTGTATATGAAAAACAGTTTATTTTTATTTGTAAACATTTTTTAAACTTTATAGAAAAATATGCATTTAAATACAATTTTTGTTTGATTTTTTGAAATTTATTGTGTATATTCTAATGATGATCTTTTAAGTTTGAAAGTATTAGAAATTCTAAATATCTGTGCTAGTTTGAAAGGTTGTTCTATCTACTGTAAAAAATTGATTACATTAGAATGGAAAGAACTAAATTTCAAATTAATAACAAAATGATTTACCCATGAAATATGTATCACCATAAAGGCCTGTTTTGGATGTGGAATAGCGTGGGGAATCCTGCTCAAATCCTTCTGATGTATATGGCTAAAAATATATATAAAATTAGAAAAATATTAAAAACAATAAACAAAAATATGTTTATACTGAAAAGAAATTTAAAACAACAACAACAACAATAATAATAATAATAATAATAATAACTCTCTCATCAGTCATCACCTTGTTATGGTGAGAGAGCTCAGTAATTCTGATGAACCACAGAGATAGCTGGCTGGAGCATCTGCTCCTGGTAGGGTCACTCATGCCAGTGAGGAGAAATGAAACCAAGAGTGACAAAACCCACATCTGTGAAGATCTAACAATGGTAATAACATGATCCAAATGCAACACTGCCTCGGACATTGCCCAGGTTAACAAGGTTTGTGTTTATGAGTTAGGCAAAGGCTCACATTTGAAAAATACATCAGTCTCCCTTGGCCACCAATGGTAAAAGCAGCACTGGTCAAAGTATGGCTACTGCAATGCCCCCACCAGTTGTGAGAAACCTATCAAACCTTGAGGTTATTGAGGCAATCCAGCCACAGACCACTAAGGCAAGTAAATATGGATGAAATGGATATTAGAAATGAATAAGTTTATCATCCATACTTACTATCAACCACAAAACTCAAAACAGACAATACCCCCACACAGACAATAATTACATCACTTGTTCTCACAACAATATCCACATCTCACTGCCACTGTACAAAAGATTGTTGATCAAAAAAGAACAATTATATATAAAAACCTAATACCACAAACAATACTAAAACATATCAAACAACAAATTGCAGAACAATTACATCAACAAACAAATACTCCCAACATCAACAACAATCACATAATCCTTCAGGCTCATCAAGATACATTAATTGACAATGCTGTTCCTAACACCACTATTATCACTGAAGCTGACAATATCAACACTTCTCCACTGCCTGAAATAGATTCAGGTTTAATTCATACTCTCTCTCTCTTTTCCAGGAAGCACTCACAAAATTTATAGGCACTTACCCTGGACAACAGCCATGCATTCCCAAAATCAACACTTCTAAACTAGTAGGGAAAACTCTACTACTTACATATTACTAGATTGCACTCATTCTATTTCTACACTGTCAGACATTCATACACTAGTCTATGCAGGTGCAGTCACAGTTGTGACCTACCATGGACTAAAACTGCATCCACAGACAGAAGCATACAAATCAAAACACACTACAGAAACATACCTGACAAACAAGAATAGAAACACAAATTAGCAATATTACATAGCAGTTAGGTAGGCTGACAATATACTAATAACAAAACAATATGTAAATTAATGAAACAACTAAAAATTTTTCAAGAAAATTAAAACACACAAAGCATGAACATCATAATGTCCACATCACAGAATACATTGACACACTGAAACAAACTTACAACCAAAGCACAGCAACTCAAATGTTATAAAATTTGCTCTGTATGAATTATTAATAATAAAATAAATTATTCACAATAAAAAACACTCTTCTACAGGCAAATTAATACTAAATCCACTACTGATTCTGAACACAATGGCATGCCAACTGAAGAATAACTCACAAGTTATTGGTCTTCTATTTGGTCTACTGATGATGAGCACAATGCTGAAGAAGACTGAATCAAAGAGGAGGGCAAAGACATGCAGGACACACCTAGTATGCATTGTGTTTAAATAAATACATAAGACATCTGTTGCACAATGCAGAAAGCACACAACATCTGGTGTAGACAACATTCACAATTTCTGGCACAAAAAATTCACATCACTGCACCAGGAACTAGCTAAACATTTAACTCACATCAATAATCCACAATACATGCCAAATTTTCTCATGCAAAACATCACCTACATAAAACCTAAAAACAACAACATTAAACACCCTGCACAGCATAGAACAATTACATGTCTTCCAACACTTTACAAGATTCTTACATCTTGCATTGCAAACAAAATATACAATAATATTGATGAAAACACATTATTACAGAACAACAAAAAAGCTGCCATAGAAATCACAAAGGTTGCAAAGAACAACTACTCATTGACACTGTTATCTTACAGCAAGTTCATAAATAACACAGAAACACACACATGGCATACATTGATTACTGATAAGCATTTGTCAGTGTTCCACACATTTGGCTGCTGCACACACTTCAATCTGCAAAATTCATTGGTTTCCTTGGTTCTACCATGCTCCACTGGAGAACAACATTACATATTAACCTCAAAAACACTCACATAAAAACAAATCAAATGAGGCATTTTTCAAAGAAGTTTCTTGAGTCCTCTTTGGTTCTGCCTTGAGCTTAATCCTTTATTTAATACATTGAACAAATCACTATATGGCTACAATATCAGACACAATAAAACAACACTATTCACATTATCACACCTTATGTATATGGACGATATCAAACTTTACTGTATGTATCCACACAGCTTCGTCATCTCTTACAAACTACACACACACACATATGCAAATGATATACAAATGGAATTTGGTCTAGACAAATGCAAAACACTACACATTGAAAAATGAGTTCTGAAGAAACAAGACTTTATATTCAGAAGTGGAGATATTACCAAACCCATGGAAGAGGGCAAGTTTTACAAATATTTAGGATTCCAACAGACCAAACTTACAAAACATGCACAGATAAAACAAAGATTAACACTCAAATACCAGAACAGATTACATGCAGTACTAAGAACACACCTATATGCAAAATATACAATTAAAGCAATAAACACATATGCCACCCCAGTACTCATATTCTTTTGGAGTTATACACTGGACATGCACAGATCTCAAGCAAAGAAACTCCAAAGGAAAATAAGAACAACACTTACTAAGCATAAACAATATCACCCAAAATAGTCTGTAGAAAGACTAACTCTTTCTCATAAAGAAAGTGGCCGTGGCCTTACTAATATAGTTAACCTGCACAGAATTTGTTTGTAGTGCAAGTTAACTATATTAGTAAGGTCACGACCACTTTCTTTATGAGAATGTACACGGACGATATCAAACTTTCCCACGGAGTTTTCCCACAAAAAACAAGAAACATCAAGCTATAACTCTAGCAGACAGTAACCACACACCTTTAAACTTATACTCTGAGTACCTGGACATATCTCAATATGTAAATAACATAGACACTAAGAAGTCATGGGCCTAAAAGGCACTTCTGGCAGGTATGCCTACAACCTAGCTCAGAACTATGTTGACAAAATTGCATCAAACTGATGGCTAACTAGGGTTGTCTGTTTGGAGAGACAGAGGTTTATGGTTGCCATTCAATATCAAATCATAAATACTAAAAACTACAGATAATACATCCTGAAAGATACAATATTCACAAATGACTCATGCAGAAAATGCCACATTCTGCCAGAAACAATATAACATGTAACTTCTAATTGCAAGCTTTTAACACAGACTATTTACATAGGCATAATCAAATAGCAAATATAATACACCAAGAGCTTGCACACAAACAGATTATTAAACATCCAGGTACCATACTACAAATACTCCATAGGTAGTATTAGAAAATAACACACAAAATATACTATGACAGAGCCATAATCACAGATAAAACAATTCATCAAAATAGATCTGACATCACTCTCATTGATAAATACAATAAGATCACTTATATAATAGACATCTCTGTTCCAAAAAAACACACACACACACACACTCTCTCTCTCTCTCTCTCCCTCTCCTCAACGGTTGGTGGGCAAACATGGATGTGTGCAGTATTACAGCTTCTCTCTTCACTTAGCTAGCTGTTTTATCTGATGGTAAGACCTTTTCTGTAATAACTCATCGAGATATTCTATTCTGGGTCTTCCACGTCCCTTTTTGCTCCCTATTTTTCCTTCCAATAAAGCATTCATCCATTCCAAGTGTCAAATTAGGTGGCCAATCATGTCATTTCTCATCCAAACACTCATAACATTAAAAATGCACATACTGAAAAAAATCAATAAGTACACTCCACTTGCTCATGAAATAAGACAAATGAGGAGGATGGATAAGGTATTTATTATACCTATTGTCCTCTTTTATACCGGTGTTATACCACATACAAAAGTCTAGAAACTAGTAAGCCTTAATAAAAACATAAACATGGCACTATAGAAAGCTGCAATATTGAACACGTCACATTGTTAGGAAGTTTCTAGATGTTGACACAAATACCAATAACACTAGTTAGTATGTCTTGACTTTAGTCTGGCATAGCACTTGACACCAGTATCAGCTGAGCATCACATTTGCAACATAATAATAATAACAATAATGCAATTATACTTTTAAATAAACAATTCAAATCCTTTCTTTGCCAAATGTGTTTGCCATCAGTTTATATCTAGCAAGAACTTCACAATATGTAAAAAATTAAAATAATACAAAGAAATAATTATATAAGATGTAAGTAATTTCATTTTATCAATAAAAGTTTCTCAGCTAGATATCTAAATTTCTATGCAAGTTTTTTTAACTGTAATTTTTTTTTAGAAAATTAATAATACAAATATGTATAGTACATATAAATCTTAGAGGATTTTATTTTTTAATTTAGTTGTATCGTATGTATTTGATTATCACTGCTTTAATAAAATATTAATAACAGTATCAATACAATATGCTTATGTAATTTTTTAAAACATATAAAGTATAATTTAATGAAAATAAGTTGAACAGATTTAAACAACTAATTTCAACTCTAATCATAAAAGTAATAATAAACATACTAGTTAAAACATAGTACTTTAAAGATGACTATCATCTTTTACACTACTGTGTTCTTCCTAGTATATTTTAGAATGATGATATCTATTATCTAATCCAATACATTCTCAAACTCCATTAAACTCAGTACCATAAACGTATTAACACGTATGAGTATATTGCCTGATTTTTTTCCCAAATAAACTGTTCTATTTTCAATAGTTGAATTCTATTCAAAAACCCTTTTGCGGAAGCTACATGACAGAGTCTGAA